CGAACCCTTCGGCTGTCAAAGGGCCGTGCAAGTTCTTTGGCCCTTTGGGCTGCAATCCAGCGGCTTCAGCGCTCATGGGCCTTCACAGGCCCAAGTTACCTTGCGTAGCGAACCACGAGGAATGGCGACAGAACTCCAGAGTTCAGGTCGCTCGGAATCTGCAGAATCTAAGGTGCCATTTACCACATGGGCAGTCCTTTGCGAGTCCCTCGGGTCATGTAGCGTAGGAGGTGACGGCTGCAGCACGTCACCCCCAGCTCGTTGTCTGCTGCTATAAGCTAAGTGACCATTGCTTGACTCGCGGCTTCACCTGCCGTGGAAAAAGGGCGCAGCTTTTCGCTCATCCTGTTGTGCTGTCGGTCTTCGCGATTCGCCGAGTTTGAAATGTCATGGATTCCTGATCCCAGTAAATGCTTCGAAGGGAGATTGCAGCCTGTACATTCAGGACAGAATCTCTGTCTATCTACTTGCCAGTACCTACCCAACTACCTGTCCAGGTGTCCTTAGCTATCTATCTGTCAATCTCTCTATCTACTTATCTACCTATCTATCTGTCTATCCATAGCGGGGTGCTGGCGGAGTTTGGCAAACGACCTGAAGACACATCCGCATTGTGAAGATGCATTCGCAAAACACAGGCTTAAAAGGTGCAGAAGCATTAGCAGGCGCAGACGCATTCTGAAGACGCATTGGGAGGGCAGACGCATTTTGAAGACGCATTGGGTGGCGCAGACGCATTGCGAAGACGCATTGGGTGGCGCAGACGCATTGTGAAGACACATTGGGGTAGCGAAGACGGCTTAGAAGACACATTGCGAGGCTACGGCCCAGGTAGGCGCGGACGCATTGCGAAGCCGCTTTCGCGACATAACGGCCGCGAACAGACTTCGAGGACAGGTTCTCAGGCATGCGGCATGACTGTGATTGAGCGTGGGTCTCGGAAGAGATCTGATGTTAAAACCATGGGCCTTCCATCACTCCAAGGCACCATCCTGGGAGATCCAGGTTGGTGAGATAGTGTGCTCCCAACAGTCCACTGATTGTTAGTCCACTGATTGTTTGGCGAGCAGGACCAAAACAGTCCATCCCCCAACTCCATCTCCATGCGTGCGCCTTATTGAGGGGAGGAACACTGGCACATATGGACACGGCTCAATCTGTAGCTTCGGTCAGAAGTACCACAGGCGTCCTCATTAGAGCTTGGTTAGAGTCGCGGGCGGAAAGCCCATCAGTCTAAGGCTCCAACCTCGGACTTCAAGCTTTGTAAGAGTTCTGCAATTCAGGGGCGCTCCATCGCTTCATGGCTGCATCCTCGGAGTTCAAGGTTCGCAAGAGTTCTGTTTAGAAATCAAGGGTGGCCCCATCAGTCCGAGGCTCCACCCTCGGAGTTCAAGGTTTGTAAGAGTTCGGATTTAAAAATCAGGGGCGCCCCACCAGTTCGAGGGTTTCAAGAGTTCCGAATTTGAGATCAGCGGTGCTAGGGCCTTATGCCCGAGTTCAAGGTTTGTGAGAGTTCTGATTTCAAGATCATCAGTCCAAGGTCCATCCTCGGAGTTCAAGATCACGAAAGCCAGCTCCTTGGAGCTTGCGGGAGTTCTTGTTTACAATCTCTTTGTGGGGGAGAAAGCAGCCCGGCGAGGTCCTTTTGCCTGATAT